TTTTTGTGACCTTAGAATGAGCTTATCTACAGAGGGAGTCATCCCCTCTTCCACAAAGGCCGCCATGTTGAACCTCTGAGTTTCTACAGTAGCCCAAAACAGACAAACCAAACACTGCCTCTAGATAGAATTAACAATTCAATGTGATCCTCACACACTAAACAAATACCAGTAGTGCCTCTGGCTGGGATCAACAATTCTGGGTGGCTGGCATTGTATAGACTTCTATATTATGATAGAAAACCTGCCCTTGTCACTTGGGCATGATGTTTTACAGACTTGGTAAAGATACTATTGAGTTCCAAATTTCTGGACATCAGAGCTCCTGCTGGCCCTTCTCTTTTGTCTGTCAAGACTCTGCCAACAGAATTGCAACACTAAATTCCTGGAGTACCTGTTGGATCCTATTTTTGCCTCACATACTGATAGAAACATTAGAAAACTGACAATTGCTTTTTAATTAATTAAAAGCAAGTTCTTACATCTAAGTAAAGGATCAAATTAATGTCTTTAAGGCAAAGCTAAAAAAGTCAAACAGCAGTTTTTACATTTAGTGTATATCTCAGTACTCTAGAGGTTTGATAAAGGCAATGAAATAATCTGTTATGCTGCAGTATCAGACAGGAACATGTTCTCCTACTTTCATTTGTACTGCACAATTATATCAACAGTATGTATCTAGTCAGAACATAAAATACAGAAAATATACTATAGATCATATGGATGTTCCAGTAGTGGTCCAGCCCCCTGATTAATTATGGTAAGATCCAGTTATTTCTGGATTCTGGACACAGAGCCATACTGCTTAATAAAACAATGATTATGATGGAAAACATCGAAATTCTTATGTTCTTACTCAGTAAATTCAAGTTGCACAAAATCTAGCTCATTTATAGTTGGCGTAGGGCTCCATCTTGTGGATATTTTCATATATTACTGTTGTTATGTGACACAGACAGTATGTTCTCTTTTTCTTTTTCCTCCATGCAGGATATGAGCCAGCTGGAATTCCTCTATATGTCTAACAATAACCTGGATTACATTCCTACACCGCTGCCACTGAGCTTGAGAGTGTTACACCTGCAGGTAGAGAAACACATCCATGTTATGCATGTTCTGCTTTCTAGATGCAGACTTAAATGAAGAGTGAAATATTGGTTACATAGCAAGCCCTAACCCTCCACAAATGTTGAATTTGAATTTTCAGTGTCAACAGTAACTTTCTTGTGCCCCAATCAGAATAACAACATCCAGTCTCTGCATGAAGACACCTTCTGTAACCTCCATGATCGCAACTTCATCCGCAGCAACCTGGAAGATATCCGTCTGGATGGCAACCCCCTGAACATCAATCTGTTTGCCAAGGCCTATGTCTGCCTCCCACGCCTGCCTGTAGGGAGTCAGTAACAGCTGCCAAATTAGGCAAAAAAGAAATCTGTTTTGTGTAAATATTGGTTATATGGGTAGAATTATATGGGGGTTGAGGGCTGTTTGAAATACCTAATCATTTGTCTAAATATTCACAGTAAATTTTTATGCCATAAATCTGTGGAATCGGAAGGAAGGAACAGCCTTTAAAACATCACAAACATGCATTGCATTACTGAAACTGATTGAATCTTTTTTGGCTTGTTTAGGTTGTATATGGCTAATGTGTTCCCTATTTACAGTCCAGCAGACACAGAGCAACACAGCATTTATTTTGAGTGCACTTGTTGAACAAATTATCTGTTAAATACCACCAGTGTTGGGCAGTAACACATTACAAGTAATACTATTACTTCCCCAGCAACTAGTAGTGAAACTAATTACCAATACATTTCAGTAATAATATTAGTAACCCCCCAAAAATAATTAGTTACAACTTTACTTTTGTTGTCACCCTCCTACTGTTTGGAAATCGGATCACGCCCACATATTCATTTTTGTAATTGTGGAGGAAACTAGTTTGGAATATGGAAACCCTTACATTCAGTGGCTGGAAATATTCCATTACTTTAATTTTGACAAACAAAACTAGGGGGAAAGGAAGAAAATTACCAATTTTGTGGGGTAGCAGGTAATATATCTAGTAACGTAACTAAATACTGTTGTGTAGTAAAGTAAAAATATTACATTTGAAAAGAGTAATGAGTAATAAATTACATATGTAGAGTAACTGGCCCAACACTGAATACCACTGTTAGTCACTGGCTAAAAAGCTCCTATTCTTCAACTAACCCCATTGATATTAAACATAACCTTTGATCCACTGATAGGATGAAAATATGGATCAGTGCACCTGTAATTACTGATATTATTGTAATAGGGAGAAGAAAGAAACTTCAATTTGAATGCTGTTTGTTTTTGCTTGCTTATGTCTCCTTTTATTTGAAAAGCTTTATGGCGTGGACACAACACACATCGTGGAACATCTTGTTTTTTTTTCCTGCTCCCATGTTAATGGTTAGAGCAGCCACACTGCCCACTTCCTCTTGTTTCTGCAAGCTGCATGCGGTTCCCAGGAAAAATAGAATAGAAACAAACAGTGAAAAGGATCTGCTTGTAGTCATATCAACATAATACCAGCAACATTTACACCTTGGACTGGACTGTCTATTCGGTACTTGTACTTACTAGTACAACAGCAGTCCTTACTTTTCAAAATGGGACAATGAGACTGTTGTGTGCTTTACTGGTTTGGCCCCATGATCTTGTTTATGTCAACTCTGTGTCTTTCCTGCCTCCTTGAGGTCTGAAGGCAATTGACAAATGTGTGCACTGAAGCTTTAGAAGCAGTTATGACCCTAACTCATCAGGAGTTGAAGGTAACCAAAAAAGAGCTAAAGGAGAGTGAATATGGGACAGAACCATAACTTCACACTAATGCCAATGTAATGCAGCTTTGGGCATATCAATGGATTCAGACACCACAGACAAATAAAAGCATTGACTTGAAAGTCTAAAGAAAAATGTGCATTCTTCTGTGAGGACATGAAAACCAGAACAAAAGTTCACAATAGCAGAGTGTTTAATCATTTAATGAAGAAAGTATTTGTGGTTTTGTTTAGTGTTATTAGTTAACAGAGTTTTTCATCCTGGCCCTAAGTCCATTGCTCTACACTGGGTGCAGATGTTGGCAAGGTTGGTAATCCATTTCATCACAGTTCTTCTTTGTGTCTGTTGTAAAGCTCCGGCTGCCCCCATTATGCAGATGTCAAAAGGCATGACTGTGAAGTACTCTGACAGACATCAATGGTCAGATGTCAATACTTCAAGACTACTGTTAATAAAGGCTGAGAAAACAGGGAGAAGAATGAAACGGTTATGCAATCTCAGTTTTAGGCAAACATGCAAGCCAGAAAATTAGCATTACAATCAAAAACAGTGTACATGGTGCCTACTCGTGGCTAAGCGGACAACTGCAATGTCCTTGATTTGCTTACAGGGGCATTTGTTGAATGCCACATCCCTCTCTTTTCCCCTGTTTCCTGTCCATGCATATACTATCAATTGTCCAATAAAAAGAATCTGAAGAAACACATGCAGATGTACAACACATGCAGAAAGAATTCCTTCTTTCTGCATGTGTTGTACATTGCTGTTTATTTTGTAGAGGTAAAATAATTTCTTCTCTGAATATGATGACATCATCGCTTGTTCTACGGAAGCTAATATAATATTATTTACTTATTTTCTCATTTATTTATTCAACCTCTACTCTATTTCACATGTAAGTGTGATTACCCAGTATTTTTTGCTTGTGTGCAGTTAGGCTCAACTGTCAGAGGAAACAGTCCGAATGAAGAGAGGAGAATCTGGGAAAATGCAATTGTAAAAAGGACTGAATTCTATGTAATTTCAGACTATATATGTGCGTGTATTTTTCTGGCTGGAATTTCTGGCCCAGAACTGCAGCCCTTCATATGTTATTAGCAGATGGGATTGGCAGCCTTGGCAACCTCTTGCACATCGGTGAAAAGCCCAACCACTGCCAGAACTAGTCCCATGCTGTCCACACAGAGGTGAAATGCCAATTTAAATCTTAGGTACAAAATATTTTGTGGCTCAAAGTCTTCTGTTTTTTTAAACATAATCTCTAATATGGCACTTCCACCAGCTGTTATATCTCTGCTCTGAAATGTCATTCAAAATAATCTCAAAATGATCTAAAACTTGTTTTCACAACCTTTCGTTTTCGTTTCGTTTGAAGCCCTGACTTTTGATGGTAGATCAGTTGAGGATGATATTACTTACTAATGCTTATCATTATATTATTTTTAATTTGTTAACAGAAATAATGTACTCAAATGAGTTTAAAAGGTTTACTCCCACACACATTTTTCATAACACTAAATCAGTTGTGTGTTGGTGGAGTCTAAAGTAGGCTATTTAATATTCACTCACAAAAATAGCCTTAAAAAAAAAATCCCAGTGCATTATTTACTAACGATAAACGAACACAATTAAATAGCATTTAATTGACTGAATTAAGGATTCAGCAGTATTAACATACCCGAAAATAAGCATGAGCACACAGACCTGTGACTTATGTTGCTGATATTCATATTCTCGTTGATTCCTTCTGCCATCTGCAGAGGGCGTTGGCCCATGGCCTGGCTGGCATCGGCTATTTCACTCTCTGCAGAAAAAGGGTCTGAGTGGTTTCCAAAAAGACTGCCTTGTCTCTGTTTTAGAGAAGATAACACAGTTACTGTCAATAGTATATAACCTTATTTTATTGTTCATTCCCTTGTGTCAGGAGTGACCATTTCTCACTCTAAAGCTGCAATAATGTGACATCCTAATCATTGGAAATTATGTCAGAATAAAGACAGACACATAAAGACAGTTACTATAAAGTACTTGCTGAAACCTTAAGTGTACCTTAAGTGGCTGGCCTGAAGTTAGTGATGGGCAAAACAGTTATTTTCAGTGTACTGAATCACAACAAAATAATTCAATAAAATGTTTTAGAAGATGGGGCGCCCTGGTAGCTTACCTGGTAGAGGTGGTGCCACATGCACCAAGGCTGAGAACTTGCTGCAGTGGCCATGGTTTAAATTTCGACCTGTGGCCTTTTGCAGCATGTCTCTCTTGTTACTGTTATGCAGTGAATATAATACGACCTGTGGCCTTTTGCAGCATGTCTCTATTGTTACTGTTATGCAGTGAATATAATATGAAATATCCATTAAATATATCATTTATTTACTTTACTCAATGACATAAAAGGGGTCCATTAAGGAAAAAGGTTGGGAACCACTGTCTGAGAATACTGTTTGAGTGAAGGCAGGGAGGGTTGTTCAGCTTCTGGTAAATGTCTATATCATACCGTTCATACTTCCTTCCCTCCCTCCACATATCTATATATCTTTCCATCCTACCCTGAAGATGCCCTCCACAGCGTCAGTAGCTCGTTCTATCTCTTCTTCAGTCACAAGATCTCCAGAGATGGCCCTGTGAAGCTCTGGTGCGGCCTCCTCCTCAATGTTCCTCAACCCTGCCTGATGGACACAGAGAATGATGTGGTGAGTGAAGAAAACAAGAAGAAGCCCCATGCAGGGTTGCATGTTCCAGGCCTTGGCTCATCTACAGGTCAATAATTAAATAGTGGTGTGAGATATGGAATACAGTCATGTAGTAATGACAAATTAACTGTGGTATCTTGACATATTGATTTTGGTGTCATACCAGGAGGTATTCTCTATCAGTAAATATCTGAAGGATTTAAGTTAATTAAAAATGTGTTCCAGCATCTCATGGCTCCTGTGGCACTTGTTTACACTCACTGCTAAAAAATTTAATTTAGCTGATATAAGAAACAGCCATATGTGTGAGATAGTAGTGAGGTTTCTGTGGTTGTTGTCATTGGATTTAGTGGGCATTTTGCACAGAACAGGTGTATTACTTGACGATAAAAGACAGCACTTGCACTGTCACATAATCTACCGGAAGGCCTAATATTGACCTATTTTAATCCTAGTTTTGTTCCTCATTTTTTATTGATGCAGGTCTCATGAGTGTCTCGATGCGTCACATCGATTTTTCGGCTGCAGTCTCAGTGGTGTGGAGCTGCGGTCTACAGAATCAGAATCAGAAATACTTAATGATCCCCGGGGGAAAATTTGTTTCAGTTGTTCCACAATGTTAAAGAATAGTCTTTACTATTATATAGTATTATATACAATATCTTACACAATATATACATATAGATATATAAAAATAAAAATGGAAAATAGAAATATAATAAGAGCCTAAGAGATATAGCCTATATACAAAGTAAATGTACATTTCAATTAAATTCAATTCAATTTTAGTTATGTCATGACACTTTTCAAAATAGAGCAGATCTAGACCGTACTCCTTATAACATTATTTACAGAGACCCAACAGTACCATTAGCAAGCACTTGGCGACGGCGAGAAGGAAAAACTTCCTCAACATGAAGAAGATGATGACGACGACAACAACAACAACGATGGGGGACAATGAGCAGTGATTATAGTAATAATAGTAACTGTAGTAATAATTAAAGCTGCATGCAGCGTTGGGCAGGA